ATGACGTTAAGAACTCATAGAAAAGGGCACATTAAACAGCAGAGCACAGAGCTACATCACTTTCATCAGCCCTCTATAAACCACTACCATCAATATAGCCCAATAAATGTCTCTACACCCCACAGCACATCCTGTTTAATTCTCTATATCAACTACATCTGTTCTTCTGCAACAATGAACACCAGTGTGAAGGTAACAAGAAATGAAGAGTTCAAATAGCTCATACTGTGTAGCTAGATATTAATTTGTTGTCAGATACTATGGGACACAACTGGAATTCCCTATCATGCATTTTTCAAATGCATATTCTTATCTTTCTTCAGAAATCCAAAATAACGTATATAGTTTTAGCCCAAATTTAGGGGGGGAAATCTTATATCAGCCCTGTAAGGTAAATTAGAGATGGCCCCAAATCACCCAGCAAGCTTCATAATCAGGTGGATATTTTAAATCTGTGTTGCCTTACTTCTAGCCCAGAGCTTTTCTAATCCTTATATTCTGACATACGATACATTTTCATAATAATACAATATAGCATTTGTATTGAAATATCAGTATTAAGAATTCAACCAAAATGTGGAAAGGACTTTATATATATAAAGGAATTTATTCTATATAAAGACTTAAGGCTGCAACAAGTTACTACAATAAAAGATCCATAAATGGGAAAACACACACACTCAACAGGGAAGAGTGTGCTTTGATCTACTGTTCCAATTTGTAATGTAATTTATATCACATTCCAAATTACTTCATTCTTAGTGCCTTCTTCTGAGGTGCCCCTAATAAATTAGATGTCTTTACACTAACTAGGATCCCAAATATCCTGCTGGCATTTACAAGCTGATCATCCCACTTCTCTTACAAGGGAAAAAATCAAATATTTTTATCTCAACTCTGAAGGAACTTTTATGCCGGCTGTAATCTTTAATATGTGGGAAGAACTTACAGGATGGTCCTTACCAGCATGAATCTTCACTGTAAGCACACAATGTGGCTCCACCAAAAATTAGACCATATGTATTCATTTATTATAAATATATGTTTCCCTTTGGTTGACATATAATTATAATAACCACAATAACCATTAAAAACAAACATTGGTAGAAATATTTTTCTTTGCCAAACAGGAGATACTGATGAGTGCAGTCATGTAGAGCCTTCAATTTAATTCCAAAAAGGTGTCTAGAGGCATGGGTTCACAATTCTTAGCCGATCTATCTTTCCTAAGGTCACATGGCAGCTGCAGAAAACAAGACAAACCCAAGAAAAGATACTGCTACTTCAAAGTGTTGCAGACAGATGCTATGTTCACACCTCCGATATACCTTGAAGCACCTTTTTTATATTATTTCAAAAAAATGCTGCACAGTGTTGGTGACCTTTTCATGGGATAACAGGCTATTACTTGATAATAGCAAAAGTAAAATCCTGTTATGTTCATCCCATCCATTTTCTGAAACAAAGTCATTGGTTAAATTATTTCCATTGTTAACTCTTTGCGGACATGCTGCAAATCCCATCACTCAAGACAAATTCCTTGTGTGTCCAATCACAGTTGGCCAATAAAGAATTCTATTTCTTGAATGGTTTTATTGTTTTTAATTATTTTAACTTTTATAGTTTTAGAATTTAAGCCATTCAATCACTTGGCTGAGATGGGCTCTTATACAAATTGATTAAATAAAGTTGCATTTGTAAAATAAAATAATTTATTAAACTTATCTCCCCCACTTAATGACCCGGGGCAGCTCACAACAAAGAAATAAAGACATATAAAATCAGTAAAAGAGAAAAGGTGGAAAGGACAGACCAGACGGAGTGAAACAAAGATGTTCACCTTCCTTGGCTGTGTGAGGAGCCAGGTATTCATTCTCCTCAACAATAATCTCTGAATCTTCTCTTCTGGGGGCTATTCAGATGGCTGGGGGAATGCAAAAGTACTGCAAATAATGTGCGATTCTGGAATCCCAGTAGACAAAACTGTTTATGGAGTGTGCCCACCCTGCAAGAACAAAATGGGTGGGCACATCCTATGAGAAACAGGCAGTCTCCCAAGTAACTGGGCCATGTAGGATTTTTTAGATGACAACCAGCATTTTAAGAAGGTTCATTTTGTCCCACTGTAATATTTCTAATTGTGACATTTATAAGCATCTAACTGCATTGCAACAGACATTCTCCCATCGTTAAAGTCATTTCTTAGAAGATGATAGCTAATCATTCTGTTGATATTTCATTTACAAAATGTAACATTCCCCTTTAGTTAATAACTTAATTTCAACACAAAGCCATTTTTTCTCACTGAAAGAACAGTGACTTCAGAAAAGAGCTGTGTACCACAATTCAAAGTTCTAGTAACATTTTATTACTAATATAGCTACAACACACATTGCAAATTCCTGGGGTAGTTATAAAGCAATCTACATAAGCTAATACCCAAACCAACTCCTAAGGAATCAACTGTTTAAAGTGCTTTGTTGAATAGATGTGATACACTAAAATGATAGAAGCACTATCTTGATCTCTCTGATTTTCACAATTACACAACTCTGCAAGGATAGGAAATAAAATTATTTTCTCCAACGTTTTCTTTTTCAGTAAGAGCAAGTGGATATTAAATATCCTTGATCTCATATATTTCCAGCCAGAGACAGACATAATACAAGGGAAAGATATTTTCTATTTGTTCAAATCCAGATACTCCACCCAAGCAGGAGAGCATTAATTGCATTCTAGCATGGAAAAGAATGATTCTCCCTGATGTAACAGCAGTGTCTTGATGACAATTCATACTTCATTAAGTGTATTGTGATACCTGATCACACTGACCCACATTACAAAATCCAGTAACAGATTCTTAAAGACTGGATACCTGTTTCCTTAAATGAATAAAGATTCCATACTATAGATTGGAATTTCCTTGTAATTCTCCCTGCTCATCTAACATTAAGCAGTTGCTTAAACAAATTGAAAGAGAGCCTCTTCTCACAATGCCCTCACAATTTCCTATAGGAAAATATATACCATCTAAAAGAAAAGATGGATAGAAGTCATCCTTTCAACAATTCACACACAACCATGTAAATTAGATGTAAGCATTTTCTAATTTTGCATTGCCTTCATTTTCACATTTCTCTTTTATCCAGGAAAAGATTTTTAACCCCCTTTTCTTAATTTGCTCTTAAACGCACACAGGGAGAATGAATTGATTCCCTTATGCATAAATTAAGGGCTAATTAATTTCCTTCCCAGTTCCATTTCCACAAATACACAATACTGCTTTATCCCTCAATACTGCCCTGTCTTTTATACAAATAAGAGACTGGGAGCTATGAACCTCCTCACTACAAACATAACAACATGAGATGTAATTACAACATGTCTTGAATGTTTTAATTAAACACTCCTCCCAATATACACAAGACTCTTCAATTCCCTGCCCATAAATTGGGAAGAGAGTTGCTATTATTTCCTTCCCTTACATTTGGAGGGGATTTACTCTATAACTTCTTCATATATTTATAAGGAAGATGTATAAACTATTATCTATACATTGAGCAGGGACTATCTGCCTAAAATTATAGGCACTGCTAACCTCTTCCCCATATTTGCCATTATACAAAATATTCTTTATTGGCCAAGTGTGATTGGACACACAAGGAATTTGTCTCCGGTGCACAAGCTATCAGTATGCATACACATACAAGCAAACAAAATGATAAATCATAAGATACAATCATAAATCATAAGATACAACCAACAAAGTGACAGTAATAAGATACCAATAAGAGTAGGAAGGGTAATAGTAAAAGAGTCCTGCTATATGATTAGATATCTGAAATATTAATTTAATTTGGCCCATCCCTTGAGGAAAGAGTAGTTTGTCGTTATGACCTCTTTCATCAAAATCCACTCATTCTCTTTTATTCCTATGATATTTAATAAAAGAAAGACAAAAGTGTTATGATCTCTTCTGTTTTGGAGGGGTTAACTCCACTCCCATGTTCCCCCACCCCTATTCTTATTAATCCAGTATCCCCCACTTGAAGCAGAAAGGAATTAAGATTCCTTCTCCTGACCCACTCACCTTCCAAGCTTGCTATCTATCTGTCTGTCTATCTATCTATCCTTTATCCATCTTTTAATAACTCCATGATAGATTGAGAAAGCACAATTTCCATCCTTGTACCAAGATAAGCATACAGGTAGGTCATTTCATCCCCCTTGACCTCCTTTCTTTTAGTCTACCCATCTTTGCACTCCATCTCTCACCCAAAGTCTGCACCTTTTAATTTCAATGTCTTTTAATTCCAATTCCTTTTGCAAGGGGAGGGAATGCATGCAGCATTTTTTACACGTATTAAACGACATCCTCCTGCCTTTCCGATCACAAATACTAAGGCCCGTTGGCAAATAACATAAGCCATTACTTATAAGGATAATAATAATCACAACATTGACGGGATTTTTTTTTTTTTAACCGGGGGCTTAACTTCTCCCTTTTTTCTAAAACAGGGTGGGTTTTTTTTTGTTTTGATTCCCAGCTTCATCCCTAGTCAGGGGGCGTCAGCCCCCCCCCCTTTTAATTGCCCCCCCTCAACTTGAAACGACGGGCTCTCCCCTCAGTTCTCTCTCTCTCCACCCCCCCCACACCCACTCGGTGAGGGGGGAAAAGGATGCAGATCCGGCGTCTCCCACGCCACACTTATTTTAAATCCCCTTCCCTCACCCCCCCCACCCCAAACTGAGGGGGTGGTCTTTAAACACCTCCCCTTTTCTCGGGGAAAAGGGAAAAAAAGACGGTGCCCCTAGACACCCCCCCGACCTCCCCTCAGGAAATTTTAGAAAACGGCCCCCTGCCTAAGCCCCACAGTGAAGAGGGGCGAATTTCGATGCAACCCCCCCCCCCGTCCTTTCTGAGGGGACTCGGGCAGCGCGTCAGTCCAGCGGTCCCTCCCGCTCTCCATCCTTCCCTTCCTCCGGCGGGTCCTCCTCACCCGGTGGGCGCGCGTCAGGCTGAGGTCTTTCATGACCTCCTCGAAAGCCGCCGTCTCCTCGGCCTGCTTCTGGTTGTGCAGCGCGATCTTCTCGCTGAATTTCCGCGGGTTGTTCGACGACGCTGCCGCCATCTTCCCCCGTCCGCATCCCTCCTCCTCCTCTGCCCCCCCCAACCCCTGATTCCCCCCTCCCACCGGGCTCCAGACACCACCACCAACCAGGCGGCGCCAACTGCGCAGGCGCGCCAGGAGAGAGACGAGGCCGAAGTGAGCGCCTGTGAAAGGCTAGGACCGCGCTTCTGCGCGTGCGCTGCCCGAGCCAACAAAAAACCCCGGCCCGAACTGCGCAGGCGTAAGAACAGGCAGACTAGGGAAAGGGAGGTGGAAGGAGGGCAGAGTCGCGACTTGCGAAGCCAACCTGGAGGCGAGGCACTTCGGCGCACGCGCGGTACTTTCCTCGGCTTCGTCGCAACTCCTTGAAGCAGGCGCACAACGGACTTTTTTTCTCCCTATCTCTATGGGCCGAGTAGTTCTTTCTACGCTTGCGCGGCGGTTCTTCTCATTCCCCCTTCATACTTAGCAGGCAAGTAAGCGGGCTGTGTCACGCATGCTCAGAGCGTCTATCCAAAATTGTTTAAAGAGCGAAGCTATCTGTCTCCGTTCTCTCTAGTTGTCCTTTCTTATTAGGGGGACTTTATTCTCTTTAAAAAATTCCCCTTCACATGTCTCTTTCCTATTTCTCAGTAGCTGCATTTATCCAATAGCTTTAAATTGGTGCGTGGATTTATTTATTTTTGGGGATACTTTCTCCATTTGCACCATCTTCAGCAGCTTAGTCTAAGTTCAGTGTTTCTTAACCTTGGCAGCTTGAAAATATGTGGACTTCAACTCCCAGAATTCCCAAGTCATTCATTATCTAT